ATAAAAAAAGCGACTTTACAGTCTGGAAATACTTTAGGCTATAGCAATATTAAGGCTATATTATTTCTTGGACCCCCGATCACTTTAAGAACTGCTGGTCTACACAGAAGAAAGCCCTGTCTAGAGCTATTCATTAGTCTGTTTGATGAGAAAAATATGAAATTGATAAAATGGGTTATTAATCCGTACAACTGCAGCAGCGGAGGACTATTATTCTGCTGCGTGATACTGCGGAAGAACTGATGATGGCACGTTTGATCTTCGGCTGACCAATCAGCAGAAAGGGGCGTTTAATTCCCGCCCACATGTAGAAATCGAATATTCAAGCTGTTTATTCATTTTTCCACCCATGAAAGAAAAATGAAAATTTAAGCTGAATTCTCGTTTTTCGTTTTATGGGAAAAAAAAAACATTTTCTCATTTTTCTACTTTCAATATTAAATCAAAAAACGAATGATCGAATGAAACACGGATTCGGTTCCAGTGTAAATTACTCACTCAGTTGAATCGGTTTGTCTGTTCCTCCGCTTTTTGTGCCTTCAGCCTTGTTTATACCACACTGTCAGCACTACTACTGGCTTAACTCGCTATTTTTTATGACATTAACTGAAATAAGCGAAAAAAGTATGTTTACAAATACAAAGAAAATACAAAGCAATTTGGGATTTACAATTATGTACACTTACAATTATTTAATGGACAAGCATATAGTGGTAATATAGTGGTGAACTACAGTTAATTTGAGTTAAAGCAATAAGTTGATTATTAGTTTTATTTTATTTGTATTTTGCGAAGTTGATATAACTCAAAGCATTTTGTTGTATAAAAAATTAAAATATAACAATTTTGGTAGATTTACCATGCTAATAACCTTGGAACCATGTCATTACAATCTATAAAAAGGGTTTATGTGGTGTTTTATCTTCGTAACACCACAAGATTGCATTGCAATCACTAGTAAACTGAATAATTTATGTTAATAAACTTTCTGCTAAAGATCTATTCTATTGACAAAGCATGCAATTAATTTATTAAAACAGCCATGTTATATTTATATATATAAAAAAATAAATGACAACTTACATGCATCTGGTCCGTTGATAAAGCCATGTCTCAGGTCACATGTGACTTATGGATCGATAAGGGCATGTCATACACATTAGCATCTAATTTCGCAAGTGACAGGTAAATACTTGTCAAGATGTCTGTTTGTTTGGACAAAACCTTTGACACCATCAACAAAAGGTAAGTCGTTTTTTTAAACCCTCCCTCTATATTTATTGTGCAATCCCAACTGTGCATAAATATATGTTTGTATTTAGCATAGCAGCCCTGCTGTTTTTCCTTTAACAGGTCACAGATTTGAGATATGGTTCGTTTTTGTCATTATGCACTTGCTAATTGTGCTAATTGTGCAAATACTGGTGCTAACTCATATTGTGTAAATAAGGTTTGGGTATTACCACACATTTATTAGTGATGTTTATTAAACTAGGATAAATTATTTGAAAGGAAAGAAACATTTGGAGTCCCCTGCATTATTGCCCAATTCATCACAAACAAATTAGTGTGTATAAAATGCTTTATTGATGCATTATTTTCCACAGTATTAACAAAATATTGGCCCATGAATTCTATAATTAATTATCTACATACTGTACTGATAATCTGAGGAAGTGGGAATATTTATTGTTTCACAGATGTGCTTTAATGCAACATACCCAGGGTCCAAAAACAACACTCACTAACCAGCAAAATGCCTGTAAATATTGGATTTTGGTGAACAAATAAAAAATGCATTTCCTTATTTTTGTAGGAACTTGAATGAATCATAATACATTTTTTTTACTCTCTTGCTTTATCATTAACAACATTGTGCTTATGCACCTAATGAACTCAACAAAAAGTCATTTTAAATGTATTTTCTTCAGTATTTTCATGGTCTAGACTCTGGAGAGAACCAATCAGCTGTGCCATGTGATAATGATGTCATTAGATCAGACTGAGTTAGACCTATCAGACTGCGCAATCTAGAGTTTCATGCCAGAACTCTGTATATATATATATAGCTGGCTTCAATGTATAAATGCAATAATTCAAATGTATTGTACAAGCTTTTGTTACTTTTACTGTTCATCGTATTGCTCTTATAGTATTTCATCTTTAATTTAATGGTGTATTAGAGCTGATCCATTGCAGCGGCTCAGTACTGTCATCACAAGAAGTTTAACTGTAATAATGCAGGGAACCACTCATATACATAAATCTTGTAATAGCGATTTTTTTATGAAAATAAAGTCACGTTTTTTTTTCATCTGAAACATGCTGCCACTTATATTCCAAAGTGATTCATATAATACAAAACACTCATAAATCAAACAAAACATCCGCAATGCCTGCACACATTTGTATTTTTGGGGAATGAGTGTAGCCTAGCGCATTTCACACAGGCTGCTAGCCCGGGGTTGCCCTCTGTAAAAATCGTGCCCTTGGAATCATCCTAACCTTCCCCCGCGGCGCCCCTGCTGTGCATCAATGTCAAACATCTAGAGAGGGATTTAAACCTAATTCAGTTAATCACAAAGAGCACATGCAGCACTCTGTATATGTCAATGAGAAAAGCTGCGAGTGAGTACAGCTGAGCGCTTTAATCAGCTCTGAGAGATGACAGCAGCCGGCCATGAACTGCCCTGTGTGCCACAGCTTTACTGAGATGGGCCTTCGTAATCAGCACAAATGAGAGTGGGCAGCGCTTCAGCAGAGATTAGTGACCACAACATGCACGTTTGACTGCAGAGCGAGGCCTGAAATGTACTCCACAAAAGTATGTGAGCGCAAATTGTGTCAGCGTGGGTTGCATATTCAGTATTTCCACAAGATGTGCTAGTTAGGGTTGCCAGGTTTTCACAACAAAACCCGCCCAATTTCTGCTCAAAACTAGCCCAATTGCGTTTCGAGGGGGTCCCCCGATAAAAATTGTGTTGCGGGGGATAAAATACACTTTTTATTGGTGGGGTTCCCCTGGTGAAAATTCACATTTTAGTGGCTAAATATCACGTTATTGGGGGCGCTTCAACCCGTGGACAAGAAAAACAACTTGGTAATAAGTAAAAGTGAATGTGACGTGTGGCCAAGTATGGTCTCCCATACTCGGAATTTGTCCCATCCAAGTGCACAAACACAGCAGGGAGTAAAGAACAAACACACCCCCGAAGCATTGGGCAGCCATTTTTGCTGAGGGACATTGTATTGAGGGTGTAAGAGAGCAATTCAACAGGATATTATGTTTCTGATGAGTTAGCGTAGCATTCACTGTGTTTTCGTACTTGCGTAAAGTATGTTTTTGGCCTAATTTAGCACACTTTCCAAAATGTGCATGACACATTACTTTAGGGTGACCATACGTGCCATTTTCGCAGGACACATCCTGGCCAGGATTTCTATATTGCCTAAAATATCTAGGTTTTGGCTTTGTTTGCGTGTGCAGACCGATGACATCAAAATACCTCGAGAGCATTTTGAAAGCATAAGGAACTGTCTGTATGGTATTTTGGTTTGTCATACACCGATCGGTCTGCACACGCAAACAAAGCCAAAACCTAGATATTTTAGGCAATATAGAAATCCTGGCCAGGATGCATCCTGGGAAAATGGCACGTATGGTCACCCTACATTACATACTCAAATTTAGTTTTCACAGTCCATATATGACTGGGATCGCCCTTTATTTAGTTTCCCAGGCTAGCAACTCTTACCTTGAGTGGTTTACTCAGTGCTTTTCAATATAGTCATAGCAATAATTTGCTGAACATTTGATTTACAGATGTGGCATGAGAACGGGCCTCACTGAACAGGAAGAGGAGAATATCCAATAACATAAAATATTCAATATCACAGTCAACACTGATCTTCACACACACCTGCGAGCTTTACAATATTTTTACACGGCCTGCTTAAAAAGACAAGACAGAAAATATAAAATTATATATAAACTTGAGAAATAAAAAACACATTAGAGTACATAGCTATGTTGTATTTACACTCATGCTTTTTGACAGTCTTGCATTACGCTACAGGAAAAATTTTGCTCTCAAGGCCTTGAATGCATCGCGCTATGACCCATAGAAACAGGTTGGCTTGGTGTTGTGGACCCTGACCTGGTTTCTCATCCCATCCCGGCATTATCTAACACACTGTATGGGTCAACCAGGATGTGCTGCCAACAGTGGCATTACTGGGGCAGTAGCCCATATGTGCAGGGTCAGGCCATGTGTCGCCTGTCAAAGAAAAACGGAAAGGAAATAATGCACGTCCCGTCATCCGTTCCCATGTAAGTGGATTCGTTTTGTCCGATCGATCTCAGTCTGTGATTTCGATGGACGCTATACGTTAGTCTCCAAACCGTTCATGTCGATGGCACAATGGTCCTTGTCTCTGTGTTTCAGGTGCCGCGGAGGTATGGGTGGCCTTTTCCGATCAGGAGGCGGCGGACGGACCCCTTCTTCCAGCTGCATGAGACGGGCCACGTCTGGAGGAATGTGCTCAGGTTTGCCCCCTGATGGTGGGGGCTGGAAACTACCATTGTTCTGCTGACAGTTCGGCAAACCCTGGTTAGTCATGGGCTTTGTTTCACAGATGAGAGGGACCTACGGAGAAACAGGAAAATGCCAATTCAATATTTCTTCTTATGGACTGTATCTCTTTTGGAGAGATTTTGGCTGTCCGACTATCAGAACAGTGTTGTTATTGTAACTATTAAAGAACATTTTTGTTCATTGAAATAAAGCTAAAATAAAATAGAAATAGTAGCTGAAAAGCTTTAACTAAACGAGTAACTGAAATGAGCTTAATTGAAAATGCTCCTATTTTGAATTCCTCATCATTTGTATTATTATGAGCATAACATCTTGCGCAACAATTTCAAATTGAAAAATTAAACCTTCCTTTTGGTTTAATGACAGCAGCACTTGAGCTGACATCTGTTTTTTTTATTGTTGATGAAGGAACCAATGTCTTGCTACACGACTGTCAGACTACAAAACAGTGTTGTTATCATTAACTAAACCTATTTAAGAACATTATTGTTCATTGAGAAATCAGAAATAAAATAAAATATAAATATTAAATAATCAAAACTAAAACTAACTGAACTGAAAATGTAAGATTTAAAAACTAAAATAAAACAAATACTGAAAAAAAAAAAAACTGAAATAAAAATATTATTTATAAATATTTTTAAAACAGTAAAACTGCACAATAATTTTTTTTTTTTTCAAAATTGTAAATAAAAAAAATTAAAAAAATTATGCTAAATGTGAATAAACATACAGAAGTAGATAAATGATACTAAAACAATACTGTACCAGGATCGCTGCACTGCTCATATTACAGTCTTTTTGTTTTCTGTCATGTTCTTTTGTCCTAACAGCTAAAGCACAAGCTCTCTTACAGTACATGCATGTGAGAGATAGGGAATTGTTCAAAGGGTTTGGCAAAAATGAGCAGCTGCTCATTCAAATCAGTGCCCCAAATTATCTTTTTATGAAGGGGAAATTTTCAGGTACATTTTTGCGTCATGTGCATTATAACGATATATTACATTCTCAAAATTAATGCTTAATTACACCATTATTTAAGCAATATTTTATGAACAAATGTGCTGTTTGCTGAATATCAGTATGGCTTTGATTTGGCTGTGTGGTTCACATCAGTGATAGATGCAAGTGGAAATTTGGCTACAGATGGGTTTTCTGTTGTGAATATCATGTATACAGTAGTGAGGGCATTTGAATATCTTTCGGTGGTGTGGAGTAGGGGTTAAATCTCAGAAAGACTCAGAGAACCGAGATTCAGGCTTTTTAAATGAGAAAGCCATAAGCTATCATTATTTTGCTCTTGAGCTAATTTGTCTCGTCAAGGTGTCCATAAAGTAAGCCCACCTCAAGTTGCTCTTAGATAAAATTGTCTGCTAAGTGACTACTTAATTACTAAGAGTGGAAAAATAAGATTGTCAGAAGCACTCACTTTTCTGAAGAAGGATTAGAAAGAGCCATCAGCATATGGTGTACTGTACATATGCCTTCAAGACAAATGTTTTCCAAGCAATTCTCCATAAATTGGAGGCCTATGTGTCTATTTTGGTCCCATTTATAACACATGTGCATACTTTTTTCCACAAAACCATGTTTTTCCACCTCGTCGTGACTATCCTGTCTTTCTGTTTGTCGAAATCTGCATTCAGCAGTCACGAACCATCCTCTCGTCACTAAGTTTGTTCTGATTTACAAAACCTCAGTATCCTTGCGATGTCTTTGTGAGTATGAAAGGTATGAATCAAGTGACCTGTCCTTTTTGTCAAGGAAAAAATCACTGAAATCCATTTGAGTTTTTTTTTGGAGAAGCGTGTTCATCGGTTACTCAACATGCTTGTTTTCCATTCACATGTACATCTCCTTTTGTTCATCTGTGTAAAAAGTGGCAGAAATTAAGACATGAAATATCATTCAGTGAGGACTGTGGCCATGCAATTTGTAATTTTGAAAAAACTGGTTCAAATTAGTTTTGTGATTTTTTTGTGTGTGTAGTGCATTTCACAATTCATATTATTTCCAAAGCAGCTTTACAAACCCCCACAGCGAGGACACAACGGGAGAAAAGACATCTTTAAGATGTTTAAAAAATAACCTTGGGAGGATTGAACTCAGTCTTTGTGTTTGTGTGTGTAGTTGTGATTGTGTGAATATATGCAGGTGTTAGTGTGTTTTTTTTTAACTCTATTAAATTATCATTGCATTACATTTCCAGAAATGTTTGGGCTGGTTACATGAAATTTCAAGCAGTGTGACATGCCGTACTGTATTGTGTATACATCAGGATTTCCCAAACTGGGGATTGTGAAGTTGATAAAAAGCTAATAATGAAATCATAAAAAATGTAATTAAAATAAACAATTAAAAAAAAATCTAAATAAAAGACTTAAAAATTATTAAATGTTTTGTTTACGTGTATGTCATGTAAGAAAACTGTGAATGTGAATGTGTTGTTAAATTATTGAACTATTAACATTAATTTACTTGAAGTACCCCTAGAAATTTTAAGTCAAAGGGGTTCAGCTAACAAAAGCATTTGGGAATCCCTGGTATATATATTGTACTTAAAAAAAATATATAGTCCAAAAGTCTGAAAAGTTTTGCATTCGTCATTATTCATTCATTATCATTAGTCATTTTGCATAATTATTATATTATGAGCACAACATTTTCAGCAATAATTTAAAATTGAGAAATTAAACTTTTTGGTTTAAGCACTTGAAGCTGACATCAGCAAATCTTACAATTTACAGGGCTCAACTCTGAGGATTTGTTCTATTTAAATTTTTACTTGCCCTGCCAATAGTTTCACTGGCCCTGCCAAAATAAATAAATAAATAAAATAGTTGCTATTATCATTGTTTTTGACCCATGTTATCTTTTATTCTAATAAATAAGCCTGACAAATATCAAGTTCAAACATTATTAAAGACAAGTGAACAGTCAGTAAATAAGAACAAATGAACAAATTACAGCAATGGCACAACTGAATGGAACAAAGATACAAATGAAATGATGCTGAAACGGCAGACAGACTGAATGAGACGCAGATTCACTCTTTGACAGCAGGTGGCGCTTATGGAACAGCAGAGATACAGCGTTTCCTTGGTTACCGCTGTAAACAAAGCAGCCTTGTGCTTATTGACACTTATTAAATGCATTATACATAGGCAAAATGAAAAGCAATGTAAACTTTTCTGAAAACCCCTCAGAGATACATTCATATAAACCCCTACCCCAAATTCAGTATTTAGGATTTTCTTAAAACATTTTGTGCATCGTGACCAGTGAACTTGCTCTGCCTGCTACAGTATTTCCTCAGCATCTCTGGCCTCTCTTAACGGCCATTTACACACTTTGTAATATTTCCACACAAATGACATTTTGGAAAATGATTGCATGCAGTTTGTGTGCAAATCTGGAACAGAGATTGGCTGAAATAAAACAAAAAAAAAAGACTGGTGCATCTGTACTCCACTGTATAAGTTAAATATAGATGAATCATTGTTAAAGCTACAAAGTTACAGTACAAGCCAAGATGGGTATTTTGACCATACTTTTGTGTGTATTTGTCCTTTCAATGTGCACTGAACACACAGAACTCAGCGCGTGAGTACTGAATGTAGTTTTCTTTCGCACAGGGGCGGATTTAGTGAATTGGGGGCCACAGGCAAAATATAGGAATGGGGCCCTATCTGCACACATTTACCTAGATCAACCTTGAGGTTCCTTTTTTGTTGCGATGCTTGCTGCTACAGAATGGAGCCCCATAGCTGTGTCCAAATGACATTTTTCATGTACATGTTATAATGGCTTGCTTTCACGTGTAATGTGGTGTTTGGGTTTTGTTTCTTGTTCATTGTTTTCATGTCTTTTATTTTGTAGTTAGACCTTAGTCATGTTCTGTCATGTGATTCCCTTGTCTGTGTGTTATGTTCTGATTGGTTGTTTTAGTCATGTGTCTTGTGCTTATTGGTTTATGGTCTTGTCATGTGGTTCACAGTTCTGTTTGTCCATTGGTTGGTTTGTGTCATGTGACCCTTCTTGTTTGGTACAAATAGCCCTCATGTTCCCATTGTTCTTTGTCGTGTATTGAAGTTGTAACCCGCTGTCGGTGAGTCTAGTCTGTTCATGCCTCGTCAAGTCAAGTCTGTGTCTCTAGTCTCGGATTATGTTTGTATTTTGGATCACGTCTGTAAATAAACTGCACGTGGGTTCTTTACTACGCTTGCCTTCAGTGGACTGAATCGTTACAGAATACACGACCCAAAAGAATGAACCCAGCAGTTGCACTTCTGCAGTTACGTCAAGGCCATCGGGCAATAGAGGATTATGTTCAGGATTTTTGTGAACTTTCTAACCGGGTGGACTTTAATGATGTAGCGTTAAAGGACAGTTTTCAGGTGGGTCTGAATGAGCCCATTTGCTCCCAGCTTCCTGGGGGAAAGGTTCACTGGTCCCTTGCCGAATATATAGACTATGCTTTACTGCTGAGTGAATCACCATTCACTGTGGGAACTGTGGATGATGGTACCCACAGTCCCGCAGCACCTACCAAGCCACAGTCTGCTAACGTCATGCCTGCTATGCCAAAGCCTTCTCACATCATCTCTGCCAAGCCACAGCCTGCTCACGTCATACCCGCTACTCCAGGACCTGCTCACATCATGCCAGTTAAGTCAAAATTTACTCATGTCATATCTACCAAGTCAAAGCCTGATCACATCATGTCTGCCAAGCCAGAGTCTGCTAACATCATGTCTGCTACCCCAGGGCCTGCTCACGTCACGTCTGCCAAACCAGAGCCTGCTCCCGTCATGTCTGCTATGCCAAATCCTCTTCACGTCACGTCTGCCAAGCCAGAGCCTGCTCACATCATGCCGGTCACTCAGGAGATTCTTCACAATATGGCCGCCATTGAAGAGCTTCGTTGCAAGATGGTCGCCACGCCTGAGTCCCCGGCCAAGGTGGCCACCCCGCCTGAGTCCCCGGCCAAGGTGGCCACCACGCCTGAGTCCCCGGCCAAGATGGCTGCCACGCCTGATTCCCCGGCCAAGATGGCTGCCATGCCTGATTCGGACGCAGAGCTTGGGCTTGAACTGAAAGGTCTGATTGCTAGTGTTATGGACCCACCTCTGATGTCGGTGCGAGCTGCGGGCATCCTCATGCATCAGTGCTCTCAAGCCCAACCGTCCTAGAGGTCCTGCCGCCCTCTGCTGCCCTTACTGTAATGGCGGTCACCATTTTAAGCGTGTGGGCTGTACACTGCGCTCAAGAGGCCTCTCCTGTCCATGAATCTGCTCCTGAGGCCTTTCCGGTCCATGAATCTGCCCCAGTGGCCTCTCCTGCCTATGAGTCTTTCTCAGAGGCCTCTCCTATCCACGAGTCTGCCAAGGAGGCCGTTCAGAAACTCTCAGACTGTCTTGTCACGGCCATGGAGGCCGTTTATTAACTCACTGTCTGTCCTGTTACGGCCATGGAGGCTGTTCATGAACTCACTGTCTGTCCTTTCATGGCCAAGGAGGCCATTCAAGAACTCTCTGCTTGTTCTGTCTCAGTCAAGAGGTCTGTCCATGTCTGCCCTGTCATGACTAAGAAGGCCATCCATGAATTCACTGCTTGTCCTGTTACGGCCATGGAGGCCGTTCATGAACTCACTGTCTGTCCTTTCATGGCCAAGGAGGCCATTCAAGAACTCTCTGCTTGTTCTGTCTCAGTCAAGAGGTCTGTCCATGTCTGCCCTGTCATGACTAAGAAGGCCGTCCATGAATTCACTACTCTCTAAATGCTGTCTAATTCTAAATTTTAAAATACATATATTTTTAGTTATTTAAACCAAAAATTTAAATCAAACTGAAAAAAATCATGAAAATATCAGTCAGTCATTTAAAACATTTAAAACAATAAACATATAATATGCACTGCTTCTCAATATTTACTTACAGCTTCAGATGCAGATGCATGATATTTTCATTTGCTACAAGCAGGATACAGAAGAAACACATTCAACGTATACACGCAGATGGTTGTTGTGGTAATAAACACTGTAAACAGCAACCGTTCGCGTGTCTGCGCTTAATGCGCATCTTGTATACGAAAAGCATTTTAGGGGGCCCTTGGCTTTTGGGGGCCTAATGAGGTCACCTACCTTTGCAAATGGTTAAGTCCACCTCGGCATTTGCGTCTTGCTTGAATGCTTTAAAATCACTTGAATTTTTAAATTAGCAAGGCTTAAAAACACGTGCAAATGATAAACTTTCGTAACGATGCAGCAGTAGCCTGATCAGGTCAGTGACAAATTCATCACCTGTCCCGAGCGTCTTTCTCGCTGGCCTCAGTCAGTCCTCATTTTTGAGCCCTGATTTACAGTGAAGTAGTGACTTAGAAATAGCGCAGATATTTAATTATTTATTTAATATTTTAAACAATAATAATGAAATAAAGATATTAGAATTTTGGACACTACTATATATATACAATTTATCTTAATTTAAAATAATAATAAAAAAAGATTATTTGTCAACTTGTTAATTTTTGATTTTGGTGTTTTTTGTTTTGTTTTCCAGGTAACTCACCCCATCTCCCTCTTTAATGAAGTCCTTTCTGCAGATATGGGCCATGATTCCTGTGGCCAGAGCATCTCCCATCACATTGACCATGGTGCGGAATCGGTCTCTGAAGAGGTGAGGACAGACAGACATGATGCTAAAATTAACTTAATGTATTTTCACGAGTTCACGCTTACATATAATTAGCTGAAGTATGGTAATGCATATTTGGCGTGCTGTCCGGGGAAGGGCTCCGAGCTCAGGAATGGCCCGAACCTAGAGTACCCCCCGTATAAGTGTAGTATGAACTCGAAGGGAGGAGATGGGGCAGAGGGGGGATGCTGATAAACCGTCAATGGATAGAGGTAAGTCAGCTGTATTTACATCATGGTGTTGATTAACTTGAGTGCGCTCCACCTGTGTTAATTAGGCTAAGTATCTGACGCGCTCCTCCCGAACCTTGTTAATAAAACCTAATTTAAAGACACTGGTGGATAAAGCATAGTCAGGATAGATACAGATGATGGATAAAAATAGAGCATGATGGGAAATTTACAATCAAGTCCAAGAGTGACTGATTATTTGTCTTTCAACCTGTGCCAAACTCAAATTTTTGAAAACTGTGATTTCTTGAAAACGCATTCTGCGTGAACAGCCCCTAATGGAAACTGACAAAAATGTGCACCTAAATGTCCAAAAATATCCAGCACATGCCAATACTTACAGGGCCCAATCAACAGCGATGATGAGAGTGATGTCATCAGTGGGCAGCCCGACGGATGTCAACACTATTACCATGGTGACTAGGCCGGCCTGTGGGATCCCGGCTGCACCGATGCTCGCTGCTGTTGCTGTAATACTGGAGAACATGGTAAACAAATCATTACACAGCAAACAAAATGTTATGAAGGACAAACAACCTCTGTAGCATCTAAAGACCATTTAGAGTAAATACAAGGTGTACTTTTCATTTTGGGAAAAACTATTTACATTTACATTTAGTCATTTTGCAGATGCTTTTATCCAAAGGGACTTACAATTGGGGGATACATAAAGCGATTCTTCTTAAAGAGGCAAACAGATACAGGAAGTGCTTGTAATACCAAGTTTCAAGACATTGTTCACATAAGTACAAGCTAGAAAGAGAAGGAATAAATAAATAGAGAATTTTTTTTATTTTTTTATTTTTTATGATGATGATGTTGATGAAGTCAAGTAGCTTCAAAAGAGATGGGTTTTCAGCTGTCGCTTGAAAATTGTCAGGGATTCAGCATTCCGGATAGGGGTGGGAAGATCGTTCCACCAGCCAGGAATGGTGAATGTTCTGGAAAGTGATTTTGAGCCTCTCTGTGATGGTATCACGAGGCATCGCTCACTAGCGGATCTCAGACTTCTGGAGGGGATGTAGATTCGTAGTAGTGAGTGAAAGTAGGCGGGTGCTGAGCCTGTATATTCTATATTTCTTTAAAGAGCTAGTAATAGGCCGGATATATTTGCACAAATTGCATGCATTTTATGAATGACAGATAACCAGCCTTCATGAAAACAATATAAACACACAAAATCAAACACAGAATGAGCAACTAAACAAAAACAAGCTCTTGCATGCCTGCTTGCATGCATACGCAACTCATGCACCCTCGCAGGCATAGAAGAACATCAGTCAGCTCGTGTGTCACCCGCTCAAGGTTTAACAGGAGTGTTAACAGCCAGTGATTTAATGCACGCTGCTTCACTGAGGAATAACATCTATCCATGTCACGCTTCGATCCGCACTCAACGGGAAGAATAAAAGATGCTCTGACCTTCTCTAGTGACGTAATGAGTCTCTAATGAGGAACACTGTTTGGTTTTTTTAGATTGACTATGAAGCTTAAATATAATAACATCAGCGATTGACAGTTTTGGGGAACGTTACTTTAAAATACAACATTTTGCAATAATTTGCTTGCTCGTTACCAAAGATAACTAATTACGGAAACTGTCATGCTAAGTTATAGTTGCGTTAGGCCTGTTGTGACCTGTTAATTGAGCATGAGCAGTGCAATAAATACACATCTCCATTGCACTGCTTTGCATGCACGTGTAAAAGCTGTGACCTGTTGCTTGGGCGCCGTAATAAATAAGAATTTCTTACGTGTACTGAGTGACTGCAGTAACCTGCTAATAAGAGTAGCGCAATAAATGTGCATCGCTATTGCACTGCTTATATGTAAAAAGTAAATGTTATGACCTGTTAATATGGACATTGCAATAAATATGTGCCACTATTGCACCGCATACACGTGCAAAATGAATGCAGTAGGCTATTAAACATTGCAATATTGTGCACTGATATTGCATTGCTTACATGTGTAGAATGAATTCTGTTACTTGTTAATGCTGTATGTGTGCTGCAGTAAGTATATGCTGCTATTGCTTTGATTACAGTGTGAATGGTGTAACCTGTTCATATAAGCACCACGATAAATAGCAGTGAATGTGTGTCACTATTGTGCTACTTATGTGCACAGATTAAATGTTGTGACCTGTTAAAATGGGCATTTTGATACATATGTGCTACTGTTGCGCTACTTACACATGCAATATGAATGCAGTGACCTGCACTGCAATAATGTGTGCTCCTGTTGTGTTGGTTACTTGTCTAGAATGAGTGCTGACACTTTTGTGCCACCATAAGTATACGCTGACATTGCATTAATTACAATATGAATATTAGAGTCGCAATAAATGCATGCCGATATTTCACTGTATATGTGGGCAGAGTCAATTCTGTAACCTGTTAATAGGTGTTGAAATAAATGTATTCTGTGCTTACATGTGCTGAGTGAATTCTTTAATCTGTTAATATAGGCATTGCAACAATGTGGTGTGCATGTGGTGTGAAACAGACTCGTTCAACCCCCAACACTGGCAGCACAGCATATGAAATCTAGAGAGAGAGAGATGGCTGATGGATTTTGGGAAGACTGGGAAAACTGCAAAATAACCCTGTGGTAAGACAGCCATGTGACAGCGGCGTTTATCCCTGTAACAGCGCTACCCAAATGCTCTCCGGCTCTCTATCCCTGTCTATATCTCTATATTTCTTTATCTGACCTTCCATAGTGAACTCTGAAGTATGCACTTCGATTTATGTGCTTGGTGTTGGTGATCCTTTTAGTCCAGACGGGACGACGGGAACATTTATGACTCAGTGGCATTCCAGACCTGAGGGCACCAAAGCTCTGAGATAACGCTGTATACAAAATAATCTAGTGAATGATGGTTCTGTCAGGCACGCATCACCACATCTGTGCAGCGGCGGATGTCTTGTGCATGCATAAATACACCCCACATGAGCATGTGCACGCACTCACATGGATGGAGGAAATGTACAGTGAATGATTTGAAAAACATTTGTATTATTACATTACACTATCACCTTTTGTATTACATTTTTTGAGCAGGTCCAGTAAATGCATATTGTGAGCTTGTCACAGTCAGCACTTTTGCTGGGAACGTGCATCAAGCTTGATAAATGTCTTCAAACAATGGGTGAGTAGTTCACTTCAAAAATACATATTGCTTCATGATGTGTTTCTGTTTTGTAATGCACTTTCAACATGTTCTCTGCTGATTTCAGCAAAAATAGTCACAGAAACGCTGCTATGCATTAGCATTCTGCTTAAACAAGCAGTGTGGATACTTTAACATTTAATATAGGTGCCAAAATAAATACACCCCGCATGCAAGTGTGAAATAAAGCAAGATCAAACAAGGCAATATGATTTATGAATATGAATATGCATAGACTACCAGTTATGTTTTTCACTGATTTTATAAAGATGTCAATATGCGTCTGATTCACACATGCAACAGAAACAGTAACACAGAGCTGAGGCATGGCAGAAACATTTTCCTTTTGTTTTCAATGACAATGTTTCCATTAAGGGCATGAGATGCTTCTATAGCGCATCCTTTCAGATCCATCAATGCAAAGATGGATCTTAAGTGGTTTTGAGCTCTTTTCATGTGAATATCAACAGCATCTCTTTGTAGCTCAGAATGAGCACAACATGAAATTGTGGATTGGTGATATACATAGGAGAATATATGTTGTAGGTATAGGTAATAATACTTAATAATAATAATAATTTATGCATTTAGCAGACGCTTTTATCCAAAGCGACTTACAGTGCATTCAGGCTATACATTTTTTACCAGTATGTGTGTTCCCTGGGAATTGAACCCGTTATCTGTGTTTTTTTCTCTCAACAATGCAATTTTTGACTTATTTTCAGGTGTGACTTAAATAAATAAAATGTTGCAAAAGCGCAGAAAATGACACTTAAATAAAATATAAAAAAAACAACAGGGGTCTGTTAAACGGAGAGTTTACTTCGTTTAGAGCAATGGAAGTCTTTGGGATGCCCTTAAATCTATGTCTACATGTTTAGTGTGTGTGTGTGTGTGTGTGTGTGTGTGTGCATGTTTATGTGGTTTATGAGGACACAAATTTGTATAATAACATGGGTATGACATAGGTATTACAACGAGAAGGTGATTTAAGAGGACATTTTCATTGTTCCCGTAATTCAAAAGGCTTATACATAATTCAGAATGAGTTTTTTTGAAAATTAAAAAATGCAGAAAGTTTCCTGTGAGGGGTAGGTTTAGGGATAGGGTTGGTGTAGGGCAATAGAAAATACGGTTTCTACAGGATAAAAACCATTACGCCTATGGAGAGTCCCCATAAACCATAAAAACAAAGCTGTGTGTGTGTGTGTGAGTGTGTGTGTGTTATAGGTTAAATATTTCCTATGCATCGTGATGATTTTATATTTGCAAATGTATTAGGCATTATCGAGACAGTAATAAATCGCCTATAAATTAAATTGATAAATTAAAAAAATATATAAATATTAATTAAATAAAGCAATTTAATTTATTCCTTCTTTAACAGGGTCACTTCAACGTAGAAAAAGCTTTGATTTGGTCAAAACTTTTGAGATTTGTTACTTCCTCTTACATTTTCTAATTGCATAAATGATGGATTGCTATTACGTTATGCTCTTTTGTGCATCACACACAGCTGGATTAAAGCGTCTTTCGGGCCTCGTTCAGTCTCTGGATCATGAAGAGCTGCATGTGCAGAACACTGTAAATCCAGAGCTTGCTAGTTAGCTGGAACTGATTGACAGAGGTACATTTCTCATACCAGTGTTATTTTACTTAATGATAAAAGTTTTTATTTAAAAATATTTTTTTTTTTTTAGTTTTAACATCTCAAATTACTTACATTTTTTAAACTTAATCATTTGACAGTTTTTCTACCTGATAGTGATGATTTGACCAAAGTCAAGCTCGTAGTTGTTGACCTGTGCGATAAAAATGGCTGCCACAGCCTCATACAGCGCAGTGCCGTCCATGTTGATAGTGGCTCCGACGGGCAGCACGAAGCGGATGATCCGCCGGTCTATGTGGTTGTTCTCCAGCAGGCACTTGAAGGTGATAGGCAGAGTGGCAGAACTGCAAATGAAGAAGGATCTAATGTTAAAACTCCTGCTAGACTACAATGTCTCAGACTGTCTCAGTTTTACCTAAATACCAAAGTCTGCAATCATGAATGAAGGAACTCAAACATTTCTTATCGTGTTTGATTTCTTAACACTTTAACATTTCTTCTACCACTTGCTTGTTTGTTTATTCGATAGTTATATCTGTAACATATTTTATCATATTTAAATCCACATATTTATTGCCATAATCAGTGTAGAAAATGCTAATAAAGATGGTGTGCAAATTCTGCGTGACCCAAGATATTTCTCCACCTGTCGAAACAGCTTCTCTTAATATAACAACAAAGTCTGTTTGTACTGAGAAAATATCCACCATTATGCATTGTGTGTGTGTGTTGTCACTTTTCTTTTTAGTGGATGCAACATGACCATGTCTCAGACTGTCTCAGTTTTACCTAAATACCAAAGTCTGCAATCATGAATGAAGGAACTCAAACATTTCTTATCGTGTTTGATTTCTTAACACTTTAACATTTCTTCTACCACTTGCTTGTTTGTTTATTCGATAGTTATATCTGTAACATATTTTATCATATTTATTAATCAGTGTAGAAAATGCTAATAAAGATGGTGTGCAAATTCTGCGTGACCCAAGATATTTCTCCACCTGTCGAAACAGCTTCTCTTAATATAACAACAAAGTCTGTTTGTACTGAGAAAATATCCACCATTATGCATTGTGTGTGTGTGTTGTCACTTTTCTTTTTAGTGGATGCAACATGACTATAGCAACTGGCAGAGTGACTTTGACAAAAGGGTAAAAGTACTGATGTAATTTCTCATTTTGTGCAATATTTATGCTGTTTTCCTTTTCTCTCTCTAGACAGTAATGTATTTTCCTGGGACAGGAACCAAGGGATGGGAGAAACATGTTGCGTATTGAGTAAAATAAATGTTGTGTTGTAATTTAAAGATCTATTTCTATAAAATCTAGCTTGATTATTTGCACAAAGGCAAGAAAATGAACAGGATGGAAATAATGAGCTGAAGCTCTTAATATTTACACAATCATTCAAAAGTAACAGTAACTACCAAATTCTAAATTTAACTTTTATTTCAAATAAACGCTGTTCTTTTGAACTTTCTATTCATCAAAGTAACCTAAAAAATATGGTCACAAAAATATGAAGCAGCACAACTGTTTTCAACATTGATAATAATAATCATAAATGTTTCTTGAGCAGCAAATCACCATATTAGAATGACCTTGAACTTGAATGATTTCTGAAGTGATCATGTGACACTGAAGACTGGAGTAATGACAGCTTTACATCACAGGAATAAATTTAATTTGACAATAAATGCACATAGAAAACAGTTATTTTAAATTATAATAATATTTCAAAATTTTTCTGTTTTTACTGTATTTTTGATCAAAGAAATGCAGCCTTGCTGAGACTTACTTCAAAAGCATTATACAATCTTAAACTTTTAAATGGTAGTGTGTGTATATATATATATATATATATATATATATATATATATATAATATCTTCTAAAAATTTGATATCATTAATCAAACCAGGAAATAAAACACCAGAGGAATTCATCAAATTTCTTGTTAACACTAACATCTCTGGTCTTTTACCACCAGAAATGGTTTGGAGAAATTTTGGATTATGTCATTATTAATGAACTGTCGTTTGTTAGTTAAAGGGATTTTGCAACAGACTAACAGGATGATTAGGATTGCTTTGTGTGTTTCAGCTGGTGTTTGTGTGTGTTGTACCTGGAGGACGTGGCCAGTGAGATGAGCAGGGCCTGCAGGATTCCTCGGATGTAGACGATCGGGCTCTTCTTGGTGATGAAGAAGTACATGCTGGGCAGGATGAAGAGGCCGTGCAGAATGAGGCCCATCACCACAGTGATGGCATAAAAGCCCAGTTTCTTCCCCATCGCGGACGGGTCGCTCATCTCCAGGATCTTACCGGCCACCAGAAACACGATGCCGAACGGGAAGTACCTGCACAGCAAACTAGCTGTAACTATTCACAAAATATCCTCTTATACTTTATTGCCTAACCTTAATTTCTACAGCCTAAATGATCAGCATTATCAAAACTGAAAAACCCTGTTGCCCACAATCTACTACATGCCTTCTGTTGTCTGATTGATCTTTTATGCACTTTTAGCAAGCAAAAGGCCTTTTAGTGTAAATGTACAAATCTTCAGCTCGTGCTTCATGTGTCTTTTTGCCATGACATCTTTACTGATGTTTATAAAGTAAATATAAGAATAGCTTTGATATTGTTAGTAATATTTCAAGAGGAGCACTTACTGGACTGAAGCAGTTTAGCTTTCCTTGATTATCCAGGCATCATTTTTTCGAAAAATTAGATATGAGTATCAAATATCAGGCTTTTGAGGAACGTTTATTTGTTCATCTCTCAATCATCAATGTATTGCATTGCATTATATGATTTGATCATAAAGCTAAACATTAAAATTTCATCTTACAAAGAAGATATAGAGTGACGACTGATATATCATTTTATGTAAGTATCCTTTATACTGTTAAAAAGATCTCATTAGTTTACATTACAAGCAGTCAGAATTTAATCTTACTTTTTGTCCATATAAATATTAGTATCTGTACCAAATTGCTAATTTTTGCTCAGTTTGGGCCTCTGAATAAAACGTATGCTTTTTTCATCTGAATTTGAGCTCCACATTCTCAATATATCATACTATATGAGTCATAAAATCCTGAAGTATTTAAAAAAAATGTTTTCATATATTTTTTTTCAAGGTTCATTATTTAAATAAAAGGTTAAATATGAAAAAAGATATATTTCTGACTATAATAATGTTTTGATAATTTCTTTATTTTAAAAAGAGCTACATAAATAATTTAAAAACAATTTATTTGCATTTTATTATATACTGTGTATATATATATATATACATATATATATTAAAAATAGTCTTACCAGATGACTATAGCGACGATTTTCAGCACTGCTTCATTGAGACTTTGACAGAAGTTCACCAAAGCACTGCCATTTGGACCCATCCTGCCCAACATTATGCCTTCGCAAAAATGAGCAGCAATGTGCAAATGTGAGACATGATATGAAAATATTAGCTTATTTATTATGTTGTCTCTGTGCCAGTATTCTCACCCATGGTGGCAGAGAAAATGACGATTCCCAGGACGTTCATGCCCTCGCTGGTGCCAGGAAGCGTCCGCATCACCACGTCAGGAGGCGGCGTCAGATCCAGCTGGAAGTTCTGGATGTCTGTCCCGTTATCATCCTGAATCCCGTAGATCAGAGCGCGGCGAGTGGTGGTTTCTGTTAGACTGGTGGCCACTGTCGTCTTGGGGGTCTTCATTATGGGCATACTGTTGGTACGATACTAAAGAGAAGAAACACAAAATGAATCTCTTTTTATTTTACTTCAGGTTGTCAAGCATTTTGTGATCAGAGCACAAGCTCCTCAAATGCATTTATTCAGTAATCCGGATTGCACAACTTCTAACCTGCCCATGCTTATTTACATTCCAGGCGCTCATGTTAGCATTGTTAATGTGCGTTAATGTTTTTGCATATATGCATTAATTCAGTTGATTATTGTCAGTTTTTCCTTACATTTAAGGAGGATGACTTATAATTCATGGCTAGCTGTGGATTCTTACCTGTTGAAAAGTGGCTTGAACAAGATTGGCTGGAAACATGTTTCTGTTTGGGGACAAAATATATCACAGTTATATATGTGCATACGTGCATACTTTCAATATGACTTTCCTTGAAAGCATTTAATGTATGCAATTTATAGTAGCCTATAGTAAACTGTCCTAGCCAGTTCCTTAGTGTGTAACTGTTTTTTAAAATCATTTTACCTTTTTGTCAAGAGGCCTGAAAACAACCACATTAATAAAAAAGCCAATAAATACTTAATGAAAAATACAATTTCTGCTGTTGAAGGATGTTGACAATTTCAAAGATTGACAAACAAAATAAAATTATTCATTATTCATTATGGGGTGAATTCAATCTTGTGCCAGAGGTACTTCAGTGCAAAAAAGTGCATCCTATTCACAAATAACCATGTATTCATGAAACCAATTATGTATTGGTGTGTATGGAATAAGAACCTTTAGAAAAACACACACAGAGAGACACACAAAGCAACAGTAAATTAATATATGTGTGTACTTTAGATACAAATACCTATGAAAACTAATAAGATCACCCTGGATTGCTAGTATAGGCATATTGTGCTGTATGAGCGGATGAGATTCATTCATTAGCATCCAAACACAATCTGTGCATGCGAGAGCCACTGGAGCCGGATCAGATGTGCTGTATGATCCCAGCGCGCTTGTTCTGTGTTAATAGGTGGTTGAGTTTCCTGCAGGGGGATGCTGTAATGATTGAAAAGGATGCAAAAGTGCTGTTGGTGGCCCGGCTTGTGTGGACTTTTCACACTGAGTCATAAAGCGCTGGTATTGTTGCAGGAAAATAGCCCGAACCCAATTAGTTTTTCCTCTCATACTTTAATGGAATTTAAATGAAATGTTTATACCGAACTCTCAGTTCCACATTCCAAGACTCTCAACATACTGTACATCTGAAAATATATGCTACCTACAGTAGTGCACAACCACAGCTGTGTGAATTCATTATGCATATGTTTGTGTATTCGTGCATGATTTTTGTGTGTGTGTGTGCGTGTGTTTGCATGCAAGTTCTTATTTCTCAATGGAAAATGGCTTTCCTTATGCATAATGCAACTGTATTCGTTCATTCTGTGCATTAGTGCATGCATGCAAGTTTTATTTCCAAATGGAAAGTAGCTGCACATGCATGTTGCATTTATGTTTGTTCATTCTGTGCATTACTTTTTTGTGCATGCAATTTCTTTAATTTCATAATGGAAAATATCTGTGCTCATGCATTTTGTATCCGTTTATGTTTGTTCATTCTGTGCAAAAGTGGATGAGTTTTTTTGTGCATGCAGGTTTTTATTTCTTTGTTTTGCTTTTGCAATGCAACAATATAAAGACCAACATGTGCATGTTAAATGTGTACTTGAAGCTTTCGTTTTTATGCTTCTGTAGCATAGCAGTGTTTTTGGCAGTGGGCAGTGTTTATGGGTTTTCTTCATTATTAGTGCACAAAATCTGTACCAACTACACTAAATGATCAATAGTCAATGAGTACCAGTTCACTAATAATTACAACATTCCTATGTGCTCTTCTCCCAAATAACATCATTTTGACATTTGTCTTTTTTTACATTATTACTTATTAATACAAATGATGTCAAGACTATTAGCACAAGATTTTCAGTGTTATGCTATCAGTGCCGGTCACGTCCTCCTCATTATTTTCTTTGCCATGTAACCTGCAATTAATCTGCTATTGAATATCGTTGTCTATGACTGAGCTCAATATCTCATCTTCCGGTGGTTTGAGTAATTCTCTGCTATGAGTCAAAATCTTCATTAGTCCACATGCTAATGTTTTCAGTCGACACATATTCTTCATTTTAAAGCTATTAGAGAAAGCGAGGGATAGCAGGTGACATTATTAAGCTGGTCTTCGGTCTAATGAACTCACTGGTCGATATGAGGTCATGAAGCATGAGATGTTGCACTAAATTTGGAATCAGTTAACATGAACATTCACAGCACGTTCTGAGTTTGAGAGTGTGTTAATTATAGTGATCGTTTTAACTAAAACAGGCTTTACAGAACGCCTCATAGAAATGGAGATTTATCTGACAAGTGGTCTTTAATAAAAGTGTTTGCTAAGAGGTAAAATTGATTGGATATTGTTCTTGCGTGCACTGGAACGAACTGTGACGTTGCAATGCATTTTTAACAGTCATTTTCATTAAAGAAATGATTCCACCAAATAATCCTGCCGTCAGACCACATGAGGCTTCTGACCGTATTGAGGGTCTTTTAAATGGCTCTGACCACACAAACAACAATTATATTTCTAATGAAATGACCTTCAGCTGATGGAGTGTAATTTGAGTGTAATTTGAGTTTAGTTACGTGGCTTCCTGACCTTAAGCTACAAACATGCATTAGCATGAATGACACAAAAATTGACCAGTTGGTTGATGCTGAGCTCACATAAAGCGGCACCGAAATGCATGTGGACACTTTAAATATATCATTGCATTAGATAGCAAAACATGAAAACAAAAATCATTTATTGTAAAGAAAGACTTTTCAAGCAAACAAATTTGAAATCCTGAAACAGTAGATGTAGCGTTGAAGATGGTGAATATTGTGTGACTTTGTGTTTGGTTGTCATTAGTGGAACTTGTTTATATCTAATGCAATGGCATGCAAAGTGTCCAAAATACATTTTAGTGTCACTGTGCATTTATCAGATCACTCAAATAGATTCCCTATGGTTCAACACAAGCACTAGATGTGTGTTTGTGACTGATTTTAAAGACTCAAGCGCTCTCAAACGGGTCATATGAGATTATGACTACAGTACTTTCGATCTAAACACAATCAGGTTGGCTAGAGATTTGATCCGTGATGATGGTTTAATGGGATTTATTACTGGCCAGCCCCGATAGTTACTAGTAATTCAGAAATCAAATTCTGTTTTTATTGGCAGATACAATTTATAACAAAAAAGATGCTTTAATATCACGAGCTGTGTTGATTGACTCACTTCTCACAAACTCCTTTTGTGGTCCATAGAAAAAGCAGTTTTATTTTACTACCACTGAGATACTAGTGGTAACACTTTACAATAAGGTTCCATTAGTTAATGTTAGTT